GTTCAGGTGAATGTGAGTTGTTGAATCAAGTTAGAGAAATGTATTTGCTACATATATGATTTACAAAATGACCTACAGTCAGGAGCAAAAGATGAGCAGTGTAAAAATCTTTCACTTAAAATAGTCACACTTGGATTGTGTAATCCAGCCTGATTGGGTTACTCTCCAATATTAGTGTTGAAAGAATGCAGTGTGTACAAATACATATTAATTTATTTCTGTATCACTCCTGTCCTAGTATCTTACCTGTAGCTGCCTGTCTTTCATCATTCTGGTTCTGAATACTTAAGTTCAGTGTCTTGTTCCTATCCTGAAACTTGTATCCATCTTGGCATTGTACCAGCCAGGTTAGACGATGAAAGGAATTGGTTTGTTCCATGTGTTCAGGTAATTCAAGATATGCTAGGTGCAGTGCGAAGCTTCTGCAGAGTAATCATGTTGGAATGGTTTCCGTGGTTTGTGACCAACTGTCTTGCATCCCTGTGGTAATTTAATGCTGATGGCCTCTTTCCCAGCAGTAGCTGAGTGCTGTGTTCCATTTGTCTACTAGCCCCCAGAGTCAAAGTCAAGATACTTGAATGTGCAAACCTTGAACACACGTTCTGTGGGCAATCTTATTCCTTTCTTTGAAAAGGAAACACAGCAGTTCTCAAACCTTGGTAAAATTCATCAGGAGAATCAGGTGACTGTGCAGTGTTAAACACTTAGTTTGAGTTTTTTGTAACAGAATGTTAATGAATATAAGATTATTAAGTGTTTGTTGTACAACATGCCTTTTATGGATTATACTATCTTTGAATTGTCCTTTCTGGTGGTAGCCTCTCAAGTGACTTCTAACAGATACACTTTCAGTCATGTTACCAAAGATGCTGCACTTAATCAGCTTTTGTAAAAAGTCAGGTTAGCTCTCAGTGTGAAGAGTCAGTGATCCTGCACTCAAATTTCAGTGCTGCTTGACTTAAAGAAGGTGAGTTGGGTCTTGTAACAAAAAGCTTGAAAGCTTGTCACGTGTTTAAAAAGATGTCACGTAACTTCAAATGTGAAGGTATGAAGCATGTTGTCCCATGGGATTTTGGGAGAAGTGCTGACACTCGTATACTCTGCTGCATGTGTGCAGACTTACAGAATTCAAAAGCATTTGAGCCAAATCTTTATTTTAATCCATATTAGACAACTTTAGTAAAAAAGAAACTATTCAGTGCTGGTAACTGTTGTGGGATTTTAACATATTGATGATTATTTTCTCAAAACCTCTTCTTAAATGATACTTTCATTCAAGGTCAGCTGGCGTAACAGAGCTGGCCTGTAGGTTAAAGCCTGCTGTAATGTTTTTGAATGGGTCGATATTCCGTACACCTGTAGTGGGATGTAAGTGAAGTCCCTTATGCCTGTGTGTTTTTCTGTAGTGTCTTCTTGTATGCTTAAGGCAGCAAATGTCTCTCAGCCCTCAGGAAGAGGTGTAGAACAACATGAAACCAAAGGGCATCTTTCTAGCAATCTTCATGGGACCTCAATTTCCAATGCCAGGAGGTAAATGTGGAGAAGACCAGTATGGATGATTTTGCTAGCTTGGATTGCCAGAGTTAACCTCAGTGAAAATAGCGTGCTTGCTGCCTGCTAAATACTAGAGTTTCTTACACTGAAGTGGTGGCTCTTCAGTGTTAGTCCTCTGAGTATTATGGACTCAAGCATATAATGTCAGGGCATCTATATTGGTCTGGTAGAGAACCAGGAGTATCCCGGGCCAGGCTAACAAGTATACGTCCCTAAGAAGTATAGATTGCTGAAAACTAAGACTTGATAATGAGGATACTTAGTCTCTCTACCGTAGATGCCTGATTATGCTAATTGCAGGTGAAATACCATGAATACCTGCAGAGTAGTCATTGGCATTTACACGTCAGATACATTTTTGGGACAGACTTAGTTTCAGTTGCAAGGTGCCAATCCCAGTTAGTCTCACTGGGGATGCTTTAAGAGTCATCTGCTTAATATGGCCCTTAGACCAGCTGGCAGCATTGACCTGTTAAAATATTTCAGAATATTTCAGGGAGCTGCTTTGACTGCTTTGGAGGGTAAATGGTAAATCTAACTGAAATGAGCAGAAGAGTTGTGTGAACACTGCACAGAGCTTCTGAAAAGATGACTCAGTCCAACACGGATGCTTTGTTAGCGGTTTTGTGTTTGTGAGCTGTACTGTTAGTGTACCAGAGATACAGTGGGCTAGCTGCTTCTAACACTATACACTCTGACAGTATGTGCCTTTCAGATCCTTCTTTAACCTATTTTTTTTCTTTCGTTTTTTTCTGACAGTAAGAGTGCTTTTTGCTAGTAGTCTTGCTAAGCATTGAGGACACTTTTTTGTTTAAATAGTCTAATTGTTCTTTGATCCATTTTGGTGTTCTGAGGTATATCAAAGCCCAGGGCTGAAACGTTAGTGTCACTGCTACTGAAGACAGATGCTTTAAACAGATTTTTTTGTTTTTTTGTTTTTTTCCCCCAAAATGTATCTGTCTGATCTGGAATTTAATTTTGTATTGCAGACTTCAATAGTTAATTTACAGTCATAGTAGCAATAGAATACTTCAGGTTTTTTCAGCTCAGAGTTGTCAACCTCAGTTGCTAAAGGTTACTTTGCACTTTAGTCTTGTGTGTAAGGCAGAGTGGTAGAAGGCCAGTATGTAACTCCTGAAGATATATGAACTGAAAGGAACACTTCTTGAGAGTAGGCATAATTTTTAGCTTTGGAGTGTTGTGCAGAGCATTCTTAGAGCAAGAGGAATTATATTTTCCTTGACAGTATTCTTTGTGAACGTAAGAATAGACTATTAGTTAAATTTCTAACCAAAGCCACGGGTAGCTTAATGGTGTTTTCAGGACTTCTGTTCATTAAATGAGTGTCTGTTTCTGTTGAATTGTAGTAGTAAGCTGAAAAGGTAGTACTAGAGGAAATGAGCTTGAATGTGACTTTCTGTTTTTTAGCATGCTTTTTCCAAATATGGCATATTGATCCATTTACTGTAGTGAATAGGCTGCGTCTGGGCTTTGTGAGGATCAACATCACCTGACTTCATGGCACCGCATACATCTCCTGTCTTTACCAGCTCAGTTGATTTGGTTAGTTGTTGGAAATAAGGAAGTTGAGGTCTGTCACAAAGGAGTTACATCACTGAGGACTAAAACATGATTCTTTGTGAAATGGAGGGACAAGGACCTATCCTGCATGCAGTTCAGAGGATGTAGTATGGAGAAAAGTATCTTTTGAGTCCTAATTCTGGGCTAATTTAAGAAATGAAGGGGGCAGGGTCAGCTTTGGTAACTGCTAGTGAATTTTGGTGCACCCGTGAGACAAGACGTGTTTTCTGAGATTCTGTTTTTGAAGATTTCAAAGCTTTCTATGCGTCAGAATTATTATTTACCTGAAACATAGGTAGGAGATGTGTTGCTATATTGTCAGTTAGTTTTTAATATAGAAATTAAGTAGCATAAGTCTATAAAACCTACATTTTAGTTTAGCTAGATTTTGACCCAAATAGATGAATTTCCTGGGTGTTTGCCTGTAGTAATTTCACTGTTTGGAGGAGACTTTTAATCCACAGTGTGTCTGACACTTCCAAACTGATTCTTTTTTGCTATTTTTTAGTTTGCCTTAATTCTAGGATCTGGGTGCATTTCTACTTTACTGCAGGTTTTTTTTCCACTTAATCCAGAACTGCGTTGTTGGATATGTCTGTATGAGAGGATGGGAAAAAATTCAATAATCCAAGGAGAAATCCTTCAGAGGAGTTTGATAGTGCAAAATTTATTCTCAAAAACATTTCCTTAGAAGAGAAGCATATTAACATTGAATTTTCTGTTTGTATGTGAGATGGTGGTTCTGCATATTTGAGATGTTGGAGTGGAAACTTAAGAAAAACAAATCATATTGGGAACTAAGCCAAGAGTTTTAAGAAATCCTAGATTGCCTTCACTACACTGCTCCTTTCCTCCAGAGGGCAGAAAAAACTTAAATATTGTCTTTAGAGAGAAACCTTATTTTAAATTCAGAGCATACATACCGAGTCTGTGTGGTGGTAATGGATATTGAAAGTTTTTTCTGGTGTTAACACAAGGTTAGAAGTGTTACAATAAGAGTTGTAGCTCTGAGAAACCTGTTGACTAATGAAGATTAGATGAAGTGTGATTCTAAATGAAACCTAAGTAGGAACACTTAAGAAACACAGAATAGATTTTCAAAAGCAACTTGTAAATTGGATGCTTGTAATCTATTGCACGTTAATGGGAGTGATGTAAAATGCTTAAGACACTGGGAGAAGAGATACACCACAGCAACCTGAAAGTGATTTTTGAAAATATTTGCTTGATATTACAGCTGCAGGCACATGAGTGTGTTAATGATTAGGAGATGAGGGATAGGAGTATCACAGTAATATGGAGAGGTTGACTAGGGACTGACTGTTCAATTTACTCAAATACAAGAATGAGGGGTGGTTTTCAAACCGAAAGGAGGAAGTTCTTCACATGAGGAGTTGTGGATCTGTGAAGCTCCTTGTCAGAGGACTTCATGGATGTAAGAAATTTATGCAGGCTCAAAGGGAAGCTGAAGTACGTGCAAGACATCCATGAAAGCTACCAAACACATAAATCGCATCAGGCTCAGGAAAACACCTGAAAATAGTTGGGAGCTGAAGAGCACTTTGGAATATTATGGTTTTTTTCCTGTTCATTTTTGGAGATGAGGCTAGAGGGAACTTGTGTCATATTATGAAGGAAGAAGAATCTGAACAAAGAGTTACAGCAGAAGAGAGAGAAAAGCCAGTGGGTGACCGAAGTCGCTTCATGTTTTTAAATACAAAATTAGAGTGACATGTTGTAAGCAGTAATGAGAGTAGGAAAAACACATTTTAGATTTTTTGTGTTTAGTGTAACTGTTGATAAATAGGTAATAGTTGGAGGAACTAAAATTTCTAATTATTCTTGTTTATCACTCTTTTTATTAGCAAAACCAAATAGGAAGCTGACATTCCTGTACTTGGCCAATGATGTCATACAGAACAGCAAAAGGAAAGGACCAGAGTTTACAAAAGACTTTGCTCCCATAATAGTGGAGGCTTTTAAGCATGTTTCAAGGTACAGTAAACTGTTACGTGCAGTGCCCTTTGTTATATTGTATTTGAGGGGGATTTAGAGAAGTCCTCAGTTAACCTCTTCTGCCCCAGGTAGTCCTTGTGTGCTATTTCTGTACTTGAAATCTTGTTAATTTAATTTATTCAGTGTTCTTTTCATGTTGGATAGTCTTACTACTGCTGGATGAAGTTACAGAGTAAATGCATCTGCATTCAGTTCCTTTTGCCTTCGAAAGCTGTTAGCTGTGCCTTAAATTAAGACTTCTGTCTGCATTTATATGCTACAACAGTTTGATACGTTTCATTACTAGTGTTGCACGATTTGTTTTTCCCAGCAGCCATTCATCTCATTGTATGAGGATACTAGAGCCTTGATGCAGGACTATTTTTACATGGTACACAGCTGTTGAAGCAAGTTTGCGGTGTTTGTGTAATAGGGTTACAGACCTACATATTTATGGATTGAGCAAGCAAACAGAAAGAGGGAATTGGGCATTGGCTTTTTCTCTTATGTGCTTGCTGAGACATCTTGAACTCGTCTTTGCTTGCTTTTCTTTAAAACATGATTTTGTTACTTTCTGAGATTATTGGACTTCTGATAGTTTTATATTGATAAAGTGTGCCAAAGTCCTTCTGTGGAAGACAATCATATGTCAGTGCTGTACTTTTACCTAGTGCTGATTTTTTCTTTTTTTTTCTTGTAACAGTGAGTCTGATGAGAGTTGTAAGAAACACCTTGGGCGAGTGCTCTCTATCTGGGAAGAAAGGTCTGTTTATGAAAATGATGTATTAGAACAACTTAGGCAAGCTTTGTGTAAGTATTTTGTGTGTATATGAAGATTCAGTCTCTTGTTTGAAATATTATTTCTCTGACTCCTCTGTTTGGTTTCATTTAGATGGAGACAGAAAGGTGAGGAAGCGCACATATGAACAGATAAAAGTTGATGAAAATAACTGTTCACCTCGAAGTTCTCCCACTGACCCTCCACAGGTAAAAGCATGTTTATAAAATTCTGTATTTCCGTATGGTTTGATACAGAATTTTTCTTTGTTTTGAATGGTCTCTGTTTTTGTTTTTAATGAGGTGCTGTTTCTGAGCAAGTGTGTCTACACCTGAAATTTTTCTTCACAGTACTTCAGGTTACAAGTGGAGTGAAGAAGATGAGCATGCTGTAACTTTAGTCAGTTTGACACTAAACCAGAATGTATAAACTATATATCCAGCTTTGTCCACATCAGGATTTCAGCATTCGCTTTACAGCGTTTGAGGTTCTCATTCAGTTTCCAGGGTGATAGTAACACATGTATCAGAAGAAGATTGTTATCAGTTTATCAATAAAACATTTCTCAATGTCATGATCGTTGGGAAGAGTTGTCTGCCTTGTGTTGTTACGGCTTTTATAATTCTTGTGGGTTTTTTGTTATGGTACTGCCCCATCTCAAAAGGCTTTTTGTTATGGCAAGGAATGACTGTCCTCAAACAATCATAATTTAATGTGTTTCTCTGTAACAGACATCTGGGCTGCTATGAACATCAGCCCTACTTCTAAAAGAAGTGCGCTGATCTAGTCTGGTGCAATAGTGAAGCAAAACTACAAGAAAAATAATTTTTAAAATGTATAGTAAAATGAAAGATACTGTAAAATAATCACTACTGTAAAAAATAAAAGATTTGTAAGCAGTCCTATACCAAGAATTTAAATGAAAAATCTCATTTAGGAGGATGACCTTTAAAACTAGGAACACTGCTATGTTGTTATGAGAATTAATGGCTTAGTTTTGTTTTCAGTCTGAGAGGGCATAGAATGTTGCTGTAATGCTGATACCGTAAATGCCTTTAAAATTGCCATCAATTTGATTCCATAAGCTTATTGTGAAATACTGTTTTGACTAGGATCTGTTTATTTAAACTAGTTCTCCATCTTGCATGCTTTTTTCAGACCACAGATCTCATTAGAGCGTTACAAGAACTAGAAAACGCTGCCTCTGGGGATGCAGCAGTTCATCAGAGAATAGCTTCTTTGCCTATAGAGGTCCAAGATGTGTCCCTGTTAGACAGAATAACAGGTGAGGGTTGGGGATCCAGTAACTGAAATGCTGTTCTGAGAATTTAACAGTATGTGATGAAATCATGCTTTACTTGTTTTTCTCTGCTTGCCTTTTAGATAAGGAATCTGGGGAGCAACTTTCCAAAATGGTAGATGATGCATGTATGTTGCTGGCGGATTACAATGGCAGGTTGGCAGCTGAAATAGATGATAGAAAACAGCTGACTCGAATGTTGTCAGACTTTCTCCGATGTCAAAAAGAATTCCTTGCAGAAAAAGAACATAAGCTGGAAGTGCGTAATGTTTTGTTTTGGTCCATTCTTCTAAAACTTGTTCTTGCAAATGTTTTTAATTTGCCTAAACAAATTTTCTCTCCAAAGGTAAATATTTAATTGCCACAGTTAGGTCTTTGGTTCCAGCACATTTTTAACAAGATTTTTTTTTTTTTTGTTCTAGTGTTCTAAATCTGTTAAACCAGCTCAACATTAGGTAATGTTACAACTGTAATCACTTCAGTGTTTATCTTTCTGTTTTTTAGCCCATTTAGTCTTCATTATATGTACAGACTTAGTTTTAGTAGTGCAGAAGTCTTATCCTGAATGGTACAAACTTAGTTGTTCATAGAGTGAATTTTTTCTTGATCTTTTTATTGTCTTAGGTATGTATTACATTGTTTAGTAGTATCCTTTTTGTGAATAGAATGATCTTTCTGGTAGTTGTAGGTTTGTGAAGCCACTTAAAGGATAAGAATTTAATTAATGGTTTCTGCGGAACTTTTTAACTTGGCTTAAACATCCATTAAACCTGGTAAAATGTAGTTTTAGGTTCTACAGCCTCTAACACAGCTGGTTAGTAGCACTTGTAGCATTAGCACCATTAGGACAGGACAAATCATTGATAAAAGAAGGATGCAGGGTGAGCAGCTCGTTATGAGCAAATGATCCCCCAAGTTCTGTTCTTCACTATTACCAGTCATCTGTTTTCCTACCACGTAATACTGTCAAGCCTCCTGTGGAACATCCCATGTATCCTAAATAAGTCCGTAGTTTCATGTCCACTGCTTCCCAAATCCCTGGTCTCAGCTATAAGACAAAGGTTCCAGGGCTAACTTGGGTGTTACAGTAATAGAACTGAAGCCACATCTTTTTGCAAGGGGAGATAGCTGAACAGTTGCAGTGGTCATTCAGATTGGTTGTGTCATTCCTAGACTACTCTTATTTCCTGACTTCCTTCCTTTGCTCTATGCCTCACAGAAAAGCAATTGATGAAGGTTCTTCCCATCCACTGTGTTTATGCTGTGGGAAGAATATCAACCAACTTCGCCTAAGACAGCTGGTGCACACAATAGTACTGTTTGCAGTAGCAACTGACCCAACTGCACAATGGAACCTGGAAGACTAAAAGATGGGAAGCCTTAAGTGTTTAAACACCTACCCTGCCTTCCAAATAGAAGTGTGTGTGTGATGTGTTTGAAGGACAAGTTCCCACAGTACCAGTGTAGGGACTGATCGTCTTGAGACACTCGCTTCTTTTTGTGGATCATTACCAGCAGATGAAGTCCTAGGATGTTGAGGTATACTGTAAGAATGTTTTTAGGCTGATCAGCGAGGTATAAATGGAGATTACTAATAAAGAACTGTGAGGCAAGATGGTGTTAACCCAAGATACTAATAAAGAGCTGTGAGCCAAGAGACTATAAAGAACAAGAACCGTAAAATCAAGCTTCTGAGCTTGTATTCAGGTGAGTAAAGTGGCTTTATGCTCACTACTAGTAGTGCTTTTTGGTTTGGGAAGCACAGGCTGATAAACATTCTGAAGTTTTGGAATATCAGGATGTGTTCATGAGATTGTCTATAGGGCCAGCTGACGTAGTTTCTCTGTTTTGTTTTGGGGTTTTAATTTTTTTAAATTATTTTTCAGAAATGGCTATTTTTTGATTTAAATATCAAATACTTGTAGCCAGATGCACTTACTTTCTGAAGCAAGGACTCTGTATTTACAGTCTTGGGAAATACCATACCTCAGATTGAGCCTTGCTTCTCATTTGAAATAGCACTGGGAAAGGGCCTGTCACCTAGTTCTTTGAGAATGTGTTTCCTGAACTGTCTGTCCCTACGTGTTGCTGCTGAAGTTTAATTTGTGGTGAAGTTAATTTGTTCTAGACAAGCTGGTGTCCTTTGTTTAGACTTCTGGCTTTTGACATTTTTTTGAGGATAACATGGTCTCTGGGTTGTAACATATCAAGTCTTCACTTCTTTCTGAGTTAGTATCACCCATCTGCGTGTCTATTGCTGAGATCCTACCTTATCGCTTTGTCAGACACCCAGCTGTGGTAAGGAACATGTAGTTGCATTCTTAGTGGAATCTAGAAATGTCACCTGCTGTTGACCTGGTTTAACAGTATTAAGAGTTTGAATTTCCAGTGAACTCTTGCTAACTTTAAGCTTTACATGGGAGCTTTAGGCCTAAATTTGCAGATCTTTCATCTTCTGAAGAAAATTTACAGGTAAGTAACTTTGAAAAAACAGTCTTTCCATGAGTACTTTTTTTAAAAATAAGAATTTCTCTAATAGTTGTTTCTAAACAGAAGTGCATGATTTCCATCAAAATCAAGGTAATGTATGCATTAAGTCTTGACAGGAAATTTTGACAAAAGATAGATAACATGAACTATCATATCTGCATTAAAAGCTAACTATCTGCTCAGTAGGTGATTTTCGTTAAGTCTACTTTGGGTAAGTAGTGCCAACTTTAACTCTTAAATTGTTTTCTTTAACATCTGTCTAGCTTCTGTTGCAGGTGGTGGACATGGACCTATCTTCTAATGATGTCACCATCCATTAGTACACACATCCTGCTAAAAATAAATTTAAGAATCAAAATCTTGTATTGTCTGTTGTTTTTGAAAACTGAAGAGGAAGAATTCTGTAACTACTTGTACCAAACCTCTATTATTTTCACCTATATTCTCACAAGCGTTACTGAGTTTATGCCTGAGATGGACAAGTATTTATCCAGTGTCATTCCTTTTTCCTGAAGATTAAAACTTTCACATGGTTGTTCCTAAAACTCAAACTAAAGTTGGTTAACTAATTCAGAAGTCCAAATGCAGAAGTTGGGGTGTCATTTGCATTGAAGCTGCCATTACCAAAAGGAAAGAGCTATGAAAACAAGACTTTCAGACTTCCAGACTTCCACTGTTAAGCTACATTCTAGTTCTTGGGTTTACGTTAACATCAGAAAAGAGAAGTGATGGATGTAGAACTTGTCCTTCACAAGCACAATACAGAACTTTGACTTTATGAATGTATGTCTATGTTACATTTTATGTAGGTAGCAGAGATGTATTTTGTAATTGCCCTTATGCCCCTTTAGAGCCCCCCCCCGCCAAGTTTAGGATAGTCCTGAAGAGCATTTTCCCTTCACTTTTGTAAGTTTTAAAGTAGTATAAATATTTAAGGTTCAGTGTACTGTAGCTGTATATAGAAACTTGTGTAGGATTCATAGGTAGATGTGATTCTGTCTGTTAGAGAAAATGGAACTTTTTTGCAGAAAGGCTTTTGTAGGAACCCTTTTTTCTCGGAACTTTGAGGGCTAATACCATTTCTTTCCTGTTTTCAGCTGCTTCAGCTGACTCTCCCCTCTCTGCTTCCTCATTGTTTCCCCCTCCTACATCGCTGCTCATTCCCTAGTTTTTGAACGGAAATGTTGGTTGATCTATTGAGCTTACTGAAGGCTCATGAAAAACTTTTTATGTTATGGAGGAACAGAGAATTACGTATACATAAATTAATATCCAAGTACGCTAATCTCCTTGTGATAAAGACTTTCCTGTAGACATTCTAGATTTAATGTGGCCTTAAAAATACAGGGATGACGTGAGCAAGAGAAGTGCTTGATTTACTGTTTTTTTCATATTGCTTTGCTTCTGCCCTTTCCACAATCTCATTGATTACAGAGTAAATACTCTTACTAAATTTGAAATAAAGGCTTTGATACTCAAAATCTTACCACACTTATTAACAAGTGTGAGCAGGGGATCATATGACCTTTTTCTAGAAAAAGACATCCTTCTATCACCTTCATTTTGATGTTATGGAAAAACATGGCATGACTACAGTTTCCATACACTGGATGACCCAGTTTCTTACATAGTGTTTCTATCAACTTAACCCAATTTAAATTGGGGAACATTCTTATCACTAAATCCAAATTTTTATGAAGGAAATGCTACTCTGGGAGGCCTGTTGTGTTTTAGCAGCTTGCATTTGACTAAGACACTTTTATTGATGATATTGCTGTCATGCGTTCCTGATTTTCTACAGCTGTATAAACAATATTCATATCCTTACACTCACACATCTGGTTAGAATTGTTTGTGGTTTCCTAGCATGTTGACAATACTGTATGTTCAGTGCACTTTTATTTCATGATTGAGCTCTATGGCTCAGTACAGCTTGGTTTGTCTTCCTGAAGGGTTTAATTTTGTCATAGGACTTTATGGGTAAATGGCAAGCAGTTAGTTATCCTAGTTGTAGCTCTGGAGTCAAAGGCATTTTTTTTTCCTTCAGTTCTAGCTTAATGGTTTCAAATGCAAACAAAAATACTAAGCAAAGAATTTAGGAATGGTAGTGGTATATAGGCCTCTTGCGTTTAGGTTTTATTTCTCAGTGCAAAACTGTATTGATACTATTGTCTACGGTTTCCCTCCACCATGGCCTTCATGTTATCACAGGGTGTAGTGCTTGCAGGTTGGGTTTTTTTGGGTTGGGTCTTTTTTTTTTTTAGACCCCTTATATTTATCTAGTACCTTTATATGCCACCCTTTCTTTGTGTGCCAAAAGGACTTAGGGTAATACATTCAGTCATGCTTCGTGTTTTTCAAGTCCTCTTAAAACAGTTTGGATTAATTTCTTCATAATCTTGCAGCTGAGCAGCTAAAGTATTTTGTTGAACTTTGGTTGAAATTGAGGAAAATTGATTTGTAGCATGAATCCTGCACTGCTTTTTGTTGTAGGGTGGAATTTGCAGCATTGTAGGTGATCTCCAACTCCCTAAATGTGGCAGCGCCACAGTAACTCAAGTTAATCTTGAATTAGAACAGAGTTGTGCTGTACCTGCTGCTAATAGTGCAATTATTACAGAACTGCTAGCTGGGAAATACCGTGCAGTGGGCAATAAGGTTCATCCATACTCATCAGCACTGTTTTGAGTATTTTAAGATCTTCTGATACCTGCTGGGCAGCAGAAGACTCCCCATAAGTAGTGTTACCAAACAGACCATGTTGTGTGA